CGTCTTTTTTATGTGATGCACATATTTTTTCTTGTTAGGAATGAGTCAAAATGTGCTAAGTTGTAGGTCTCACATCGATCATGTTAGGCTTAGATTTCTTTCATTACATTCATTTTGTGTTTGAAATCATATTTTCATTTAATGTCGCTACCAAACATATCTACTTTTAAAAGACATCTCAAAAAGGGTATGATCCAATTCGCTGTTTTTCCAAGAAAAAAAGGTGATGATTTTGCACATGACATTAAACTTCTAGTATCGAGTTCAATCGGTCATTAGACATTCCATGACCTATTGATTAGTGGGATGGAGACGCAAATGAAAGGTTCAGAATCATGTCAAGGACATTTGGAATGGAATACAAACATATTTTAAATACCGTGACATACTTTGATTGAATGCTCGAACAAGCTATTCAATTATAAATTGAAATCTGACTCACCAAATCAAATTATCAAAACCAATCTCCATCATCCCCAGAATTGCTCCAGCTTCAAAACTGCACCATTTGGAGTTCTCTGACTTTGGTTTTTGGTGTACTTTTTGAACCTAACCCAAAAACATATCCCTCCATACAGAATAGCAAAACATGGCAAGAATTTCTGAGCCCTCAAGATAATCGATTATCGAACCGCTAAAACCTATGAAAATGTTACAAATATGTAAAAAAAAAGGGAAAACTCTCTTTAATTTCAGAAACGACAATTAATGTCTGCAGGAACCGGGAAGCTAAAAGAAATTAAACACCATTTTTTATAATATGGTAAATTTAAATAATTGGCAAATCAGCAAAGACCTAACCCAGCTAGCAATTGTATTTAAATTGGGATTTGCATAGATCGTGGTGATGAGAGCAGCGAAATGCGCCGGGGCACAAGGTTTAGAAGCTTCGCCGCTTTTGACCATAATCTTATTAATTAGATAAGATATTTTACCCGACGCATCTACTTGTCTATATAAATATATATAATATATATTCTGATCATACAATAATTTGTCTTGAACAGAGAGCCCTCGTTGACAATTAATGTTTTGGTAATTCACATGATCGTGCCCATTATTTTAGGACTCATACGTCCAACCTTAATATAATGGGACTTGGCAAGGAGTAGGTCGAGCTACTCGTTAGGCACATTTGATAAAGAAATATTTCGATTTATAGACTACCGATTACACATAACATGAGCCAGTAAAACGTCGCATTGCAAAACTACAAGCTTTTACCATTTCATCACTTGACCGGTATTCACGAAACATTCATTGACAAAGTCGTGATTAATCATTAGTGATGATGTGGTATTGTGACTTCTCACAACGCATGTGGGAGTCAAATATGTCATGCTATATTTGTTAGCATTAAATATGATGACAACGCCCCGAAAAGCTTAATCATAGTAAAAGTGAATCATGGTCAATAACATATGAATGATATATTCCTTACGTCAGATAGTTTCGACTCAATTGAATGAATTCCTTCGACTAGCTTAAAGAATCAAAATAGAGGGATTTCTTTCCGTTCTCGCATGCTTACAAATGTTAACTCATGATATCACTCATTTCCACCACGCCATATCCAACTTCTGGCATGTAAAAAATCCCCCTCTGCTCCTTTTCCCTTCCGGTCATTCCATTTGATGATGTAATGTTTTTTCAAAGATGACAGAAGTAAACAAATACCCTTAGGTGGAAAGAGCTGTCTAATTTAAGAAGTGCCTCACATAACTGTAAGATGCAAATGACACGTGACAAGTCAATAAGCAAATTAGGGCATTCGTTCATCGTTTTCCATTCAAGGGTCTCGAATAATCTCCCTAGCGCTCACATCTGAATGACAGAACGGAGAGAATCGCGAGATCAGAAAGTGAGCGAAGCTTCACACCCGCCAGTTTCTTTTTGCAGGCTTTGTGGGCGAGGGGTGCCAAAGATCTCAGGCGATCGTGGGAGAGAGATTGAATGCAAGAAAACCGAGCCCTCTTCGCGCCCACTCAAATAAATTGCTGGCAGCGACACTCTCCTCCCCCACTGTACAAGTGTCACTTTCTCTTTAACATATCCGAATGTCATCTCGTGCCTGCGTTTGTGTTCTTGTCTGTGTGTCTCTGAGAGAGAGAGAGAGAGAGAGAGAGAGAGAGAGAGAGAGAGGAGATGAGGTGATGAGGAGCATCTCAAGAAAGGTCCCCCCCGGACCTTTTCTTGCAATATTCAAGTCGGAATCAAGAAGCACCAAGGACAGAAAATGAAAGGAGCACAACCCCTCAATTCAAAAAGAGAAGAAGAGAGATAATATCACTGTTTTATCTGACTGTCTTTCTGCAGCCATCATAAGGGCTGAATGGCCGTTCGAAATGCTCTTTCCCCTTCTTAGTTCTTATGCCCGATTATCCGAGTTCGGTTTCACCTCGTGGAGTCGAACATCATCTGCATTTATACTCTCGTGTCTCGCCCATTGCAGCTACAGTTTCACACGAATGCACCTCCCATGTTCAGGGCATTCATCCGAAACTCGGGTTGTGTCTTACTTGATCTGTATGGAGTTGGAGTGGTATATCGTGAGTAGGGGAGACTCCCTATGGAAACAGAAGAGTTTAAAAGTTACATGTTTAAGATCCTTTGACATAGTACAAGACCGTGCAGCTAGGCCCTCAATAGTCTATGCACATGAATGGGATTGATCAACTATGACAAGGACTGAACTTGGTACCGATCTCTAAACACGACCCAATTATGATGCAATTTCAGAACACCGAAAACGATGCCACAGATGCTAAGGGTACAAAACTTCCCTCCTTTCTCCATCCATTGCTTCCCTAGAAGATATGGAACACACTCATGAAAATTCCTAGGTTTGGGGTTGCGAGGGGGCGATGATGTAGCTTGTAGAGATCGGCTGAAGTTAATCTATCGCGACTCGACACCTTAGTTTCAATCAGTGTCCTAAAGCGGGCTAACACGAGGCCGTTCCATTCTCGAATCCCCCGCTACAGGCCCCCCGAACAGAAGTAATCGGCCGTGATTTCAAACCCGCTCTTTTCACGACCCCTCCTTAATCGGAACCCAAAAAATTTCAATGTCCGAAGCGTGTTCTCGGAACGGGCTCTAATGTGGCTGTACATTTCTGACTCGTTCTCAAGGTCCCAATTGATGAAATTGATGAAACACTTTCTATTTACTCTTTCTATCCGAAATGCCCCATGTTCAACTTTCGCCATCGCAACGCCACAACTTGTCAAGTGGAGACATTTTTTTGTTGAGAGAGCGCAGTTCCCGTTCGTCGTGAGCTGCAGTTTAGCAGGGGAAGGGCGCCAAAATTCTGCGCTGGACCTGTTGCTTTCACCTTTCGACGTTGACAACGAACTACCCCATTTCAAATTCAACGGCCCCGATCTTCCCCCCCGATCCTATGTTCGAGTCATCTCCACCTTATGATCGATTTTAATCTCGTATATTTAATGGGCCTAATTCCCTAAAAAAGAGCCCTCAACTTCAGGTCCGCTGCAAATTCTACCCCGAATGTTTTTTTTTCCTGAAAAATATCCGTAACTTTAGGTTACCTAATCTGCTCCGAACCACTTCAGGTCAAATCTCAAATCTATCCGACCCTTTTTTGTTTAAAAGAATTTACCAACTTTAACTCTAGTATCAAATCTGCCTTCATTGGCCCTTTCTTCGAAATCGTCGTTAGTCGTCTCTAATTTTGCTAATTTTCATATGAAAGAACGGTTTCATTTCGGAGATAATCTTCCGCCTCACCTTGTTGATATGGATATGTTGCCGATGTTGGAATGCCACGTCAAACAACTAGGCGATATTCAGGCGAAGGGTTAACGGCGGGTAAATTTGAGACCAGATTGAAAGTTGGTAGTATTTTTCTAAGAGAAAATAAATTCAAGTTAGATTTGAAACTTGACCTAAAGTTTAGGTGTTTCTTCATATAAAAAATTTCGGGGACAAAATTGGGATCGGACCTAAAGTTGAGAAATTCTTTTTAGATTAAAAAAAAAATTTGGGACAGAAATCGGAGTGGCTTGAAGTTGGGGGGTGGTGGGGGGTTTAATGTAGGCAAAAGTTGCTCATTTTTGCACCCATATTTCCGAGCACAGATCCAAGGGCGGGGGCGGACACGACATTCCGGGGGAGGGGGGGTACACGTGCACGTCCGTGATTGACGACTCACGAAAATTGGGCAACACCCCCGTGGCACACAACGCTCATTAAAGATGCCCAGAGGTCCCCAGTAAATTTTCCCATCAGTGCCTTAATAAATACCTGGCAATGCCGTTGAAGCAACCCACCAAAAAAAATATAAAATAAAAAGACCCAAAAAAAAAAAAAATATATATATATATATATATATATATATATTCATCGTAAAGAGCGTCGGACATTGGACCATCCATCTCTTTCTCCTTTTCCCCCTCAAAATTTTCTTTCTTTTATTTTGTTGCCCCCGGTACGCAAAGATTTTAGGGATGGCCGTGCAGTGAAAGTAACATCACATCCCGACCCTCCCCCCGTGCACGGTGAAATTTCACCTGCGTTGCTTCCCCCTTTTTTAACCGGAAATAGATTCGGCCAGGCCCCCTTGTACCGGATAGAACTTTAGGGTAAAAGAGCCATCATTTTGCATGGTCCGGACTCCTATCTGAATCTCTTCCTCTGAACATCATGAACATCCAACCCAGACGCTCGGACCCGATGCGATCCGTCGGAACATGTGTTGTGTTTTTGTTCTTATCTAGATTCGTTTCAATAATGCCCTTTTGGACCACCACTGCAGTAGTAGTTGCATTTTCAAGAACGTCATTAGCAATGGACAAGATGGTAAAGAAGGATCCCAACATGCACTTTAATGACATTTAATCACTTACTAATCTAAAGATGGAGCAAATTACTCGTGTCAATGTGGGACAATTAGAGAGAGAGAGAGAGAGAGAGAGAGAGAGAGAGAGAGAGAGAGAGAGAGAGAGAGAGAGAGAGATGGAGAAGGTAGTCGGGGCAGATGAGACTCATCAAAACCCTTGCACTATCATTAATTTTGGGCTCCCGACCTAAATGCAGAATACATACATTGATTTCTACCGAACTTTATCGATCAAACGAACCCGAAGAAGAGGAAGAGCTACCGGCGTAGTCGTCCTCCTTCATCTTCCACGGCCTCCAGAGAGACTCCCGACGACGACGAGCACGGCGTGGTTTCGCTGACGGTTTCCTCCGCTTCCGAGATGGAAACGCGGCGCGCGGACAAGGACGACGACGAAGAGGACGACAGCGACGAGGACGAGGTGTTGTACAGCGACAGCGGGGACGAAGGAGACTGATGACCAGGGATACGACATTGATGACTACGACGGCGGAGGCGATCGCCGTCCACGAGCAAGTCCACGAAGGCGCCGTAGATGTAGCCGTGGTTGTCCCGGTCGTTGACCCGCAAGTAACAGCAGAGGAGCTGTTCGAGGCACTCCCAGTCGTCGCCCTTCACGCCGTGAGCCTCCACCATCTCCTCCATTGACTTCCTGAAGTCCTCGTACGGGTCTCTCGACTCCATCGCCAGCAACGTCACGTCCTCCTTCTTAAACGCCGCCACGTCGCCGTCGTTCTCCTCCTCCTCCTCCTCGTTCGCCTCGCAAACATCTTCATTTGGTTCCGCATTTGACAGGGAGCGCGGGTCCGCGAGGATGGAGCTGGTGTCGCCCCGGCTGGGCTCGAAGAAGAGCCGGCGCTCGGAGCGGGCGCCGCGGATGACGCACTCGACGGCGGCGTCATCGTCGCCGCCGCCGCCGCCATCGGCGCGGTCGTCGGGCAGCTCGGAATGGGCGGTGGAGAAGCTAGGGGACTCTTCCGAGGAGGAGGAGGCGGCGGCGGCGGCGGCGATCGGGAAGGAGGGGTCGGAGGCGTCGGAGGCGTCGGAGGCGTCGGCGGCGGGGTCGAGAACGAAGGCGGAGTTGATGGTCTTGAAGATGGGGACGGGATCGGCGTCGCGGAAGGAGAGGGTGCGGGGCTGGTGGCAGTAAGGCCACGGCCAGGTCGACGCCGTGGTGTCGGGGACGTTGTGGTGGTGGTGGTTCTTGGAATAGAGGGAGAGGAGCTTCATCTTTCCCGGGTGGAATCTGGGTTTGAGGATGGATTTGGATTTGGATTCGGATGGTTTTTGGAGGGTGCTGCTGTGGATCTACCTTCTTCAACTTCATATGATGCAGGCATTAATGGCCAGTAACAGTAGAGAGAGAGAGAGAGAGAGAGAGACAGAGAGAGACAGAGGTGTTTGAAGAGATTTTAAAGAGGAGACAGGTGGGGAGGGAGTTTTGGGATAGAAGTTTTGGAGCCATGGGAGAAGGAGGGAACTGGTGGGGTCCTTTTTTTGATATAAAAATTCGTTTAATTACTGTTCACTCCGTAGCTATAATAATAAAAGAGCTTCCCTAAGATCGATATTGATATATATTGTCTTTCTCCACTATTCCACATCGATTTTTTTTTAGTACATTTGACATCCTTCTAGCCTAATGTGGGGGCTCGGATGAGGTGTTTTGGCATATAGCATGGTTTCGTGTCGTTTCTTGGTTGCATAAAGACACGAGAGAGCATCATCACGAATGGTATGGTTATGGCGACGCAGTACAAAGCGAAACTGGTCGTGTGAAATCCGATATTTAGCGGTGAAAAATCATTTGTAAGTTACCAGCTGAGATGATCACGAATATTAACTTCCGTGAGAGGAAGAAGCAAAGGGTTTCAGAATTCGGTTTTGAATGTAAATAAAACATTTGCCAATAGCATTGCGATGGACCTAGAACATTGCTCTGAGAAGATACTCGACGATCTCAGAAGTTTGTATAATTTAGATTAGGCTTAGGTCCATGATAAAAGTCTTCTTGACAACTCGGACATAGAACAAAAAAAATTTAGCTTGAAATGGAAAGTTATCGATCTTACTCCATAACATAATTTGTCCTATGAAGGGGGGCGAGAGGGTAAATTTAACACGTAATTTTTCCCCATATATCTAGAAATCATGATCCTTATTCTGATTATGATTTGATCGATTCAACCATGTACACTAATTATGCGATGCCCTTTTATATGATGCCTCAATTTTGATGACATGGGGATTTCCTTTCTTAGGGAGAGAAGCGATCTTATCTTTACGACAAGTTATTGATTCATTTAGTTCCTGCATCTAAGTCATCAGTTAGGTGAGCTCCACATGAATTGCACCAAATACATCCCTCGTGCCACTTGTTTCTTTCTCTTCCTATGCAACCAAAACTTATGTGAATGATCAAAATCAAGTAGGTATGATGATATATGGACAACAAACTTTAGCTAAGCTTTGTGACCTCTTGAAAGACCAGCGATCTCAAAACTACCGAGTCAACCATACTTTGGCAGTCAACTCCGCTTTCCTAATAAACAAACACTTGAAGTTATGCCACATCATTTCATAAACCAAACCTTGTAGACTCTCCTTGTGTTGGCGAGATTTTCTCCTCCAGCCTGAAGAATATATGCTGTCCTATTTTGTATTATTACCTTCCTATTGTGATGTAAATTCCTATTTTAGGTTGTTTGGTTCCTTGTTGAAAACAACCTCTGCTGTATATAAAAAGGTATGAATAATAGGTTCACTCGCATAAAAAAAAAGGGGGAAGTCAGGGGGAGTTTGGTCGAGGACGTAGGCTAAGTTGCTGAACCTCGTAAATATCTGTGTCTCTTCCTTGTGTGTGTGATTTGCCTGCATTATATTCCAAACTTCAACACCTTGTATACCTGCCATTGTTGAAGGGGTTTTGTTTGTCCGTGGAAGATGCACCCTTCTACGGTTCAAACCCCGTCCTGCGACGCGGCTTGCAGGCCTGGGGTATACCCCATAGTGGACCAGTTTGTGCTTTTCTTCATACGGAGTTGATTTGTATACCTTTGACAATTCGAGGTCTACAACACTATCGCAGGACCTCTTACCGTACATATCTACCTCTATTCCAAAAGCCTCTAATCATGTGGTTTCTGTACTTTTTCTGCGATGGGAACGTGTAACACCATCAAGGTTGTTCTTCACTTACGCCTAAATCTAAAAGGCCAAAAGCTTAGAGATGCTTTCGATTTAGTGAGAAGACTAGGAATTGTCAATGTAACCCCATTTAGACACACCTTGACAGCCCACAAAGACAATGGCCTTAGGCAGAGTCTTCATTCATATAGGGCTAGCATTGGTGATTAGAGATACCCTTTGTGATCCAGGAAATTTGATCGATTGGTAATAAGAACACTTAACCTTGTTAGGTCATTTTGCTTATTGCCGACTATAGACACTTGATCTCTTTCTTGAAATCAATATGATTGAATGTAGTTATGATAACTGTTGCAGGAGTCATCTCTTCTCGTCCTCTCTATATAGTAAGCTTATCTCACTTCCCTCTCTATTTCCTACGCATGCATGTTTGTGGTGTTGGGAGATTGTGCACGCTAAAGAAAACTATACTTGCTCCTTATGTTCGCGGAGGGAGGGAAAGAGAGAGGGAGAGAGCGAGCTTATAAAGTGAATGGTTCTATATAAGAAGCTAGGACAAGATTCTTGTCCACTTTCAATGTGTTCGCTAAGCCTCCTGGTCTCCAAGTAATTCCTAACTTATTATGTAAAAAGGAATGAAACCACACTCTGACTTGTCACCTCGTTTGGTTCATATTGGGAACTTGGGATGATGGGTTCTACTATCCTTCCCACCATTGATTTTCCTACTTGGGGAACCCAGCAGAAGATACATTCTCCTATTTGGGAAACATGCCGTCATCGCCACGAGAAATAAAATCGCATTGGTTAATCGATCGGATAAGAGGGTGGATTGAACAAAACATTTCGAGTGGAGGCTCAAGAAAGATCCAAAAGCGATGAGGAAGGATGTGGGGATCGAATGAAAAATCAAGGTGAAGTGGGGATGAAATTATTGGGCTAGTAATATCTTTGAGAAGTACTTCTGCACCATGTGCTCCTCCATCTAGCTGGCAAGTGAAAACCCCACAACAGAGAGAGGGGGAGACAGAGAGAGAGAGAGAGAGAGAGAGAGAGAGAGAGAGAGAGAGAGAGAGAGAAACAATCATTGAGTGGTCATGTGCACAAGCTAAGTCGAGAACAAAAAAACATCTAGGGTTGCTCCACGGTCTACGGGGGTTTCTGGTTACAAGCAATCAATCAAAGCTCACCCAGCATCATTCATGTATGCACAGCTCGATCGGAGTTTACATACGCAGGACTCTGTAAATTTCACTAGAAAGAATTGACCATCCTTACAAGATCATCACGCACATCGACCCGTGATTTTTCATTAATCTACCATTAATTTGTTAGATGTTCGGGTTGGGTGAGGGGTCTCCTGAACCCCGTTTCACTCAACAAGCTATCGACCTGATTCTCTGATCTAATGATTGACGACCATCTATCTATAATGAGCTTGTAAGAGCATGCATCATATATTCTATGTTATGGCAGAGATTTGAGAGAAGAGAATGTACAGTGTAAGATTGAATGGTATGTCATCTCATTAAAGAGATGCTATTTTTGGTGTGTAAGAAGTTAAAACAAATTGACCTGTAACGTCACCTCAAGAAGTGGACTAGTTGAGATATACGAAAAACTGACTTGGCCATCAATTAATCACTAAACTAAAAAAGAAAAGAAAATCAAACTTGAGACTGCGAAATTGTACATGCGCCCCCTCGAAACAATCTAATCGTGCATCCCTCTCTCTCCTACCCGTTCTCAGTGAAATCATTGCCGCCTCACTGCTCAACTAGGTGGCACCACCACCATCTCTCCAGCCCATGATCAAGCAGTTCATCTATCAAGGACATGCTTGTGACATTTGAGACTCAGGAGAGGAGGAGAGTCGTCAAACACGGTTGTTGTTGTTCGACTAGCGCTCGTCGAACAAAGAGGGCTACTGGAGAGAGATAAATTACCGTTCTTCCTTTGGATAGGAGTCAACAAGAGAATGGAGGGATCATGTAGATCTAGGCTGACTTCTTGTCTTCCTCGTAACTTCTCGTCCATACCTTCTAAATTTAGGCGCAACCCACCATTAGCCTGAAATGACTGCCCCTTAATGTCGAGATCATGCATTCCCACTGAAATACACACAGTAAAACCAACACGGACCAAATATCTAAGGACAACTGTGAATGACAACCCAAATCTGAAGGAGGGCTAGTGACTGCATGCATTTAACTCGATGAATTCCATATGCAAATCATAGGAGGAGGAGGGCTTGAACCCAACAGGAAGATCGGGGTCCATCTTATGAGCAATGGCCACACGCCGTGCCTCGGCCGGCCCCGGCACAGCTTGTGAAGGCTTGGCACATTTATGTGCCCGGCCAAGCACGGCACGGGGACGACCCCTCGCACAGAGTGGCCATGCTGTGCCTGGGCCAAGCCAGAACCTGGGTGGGAAGGGGCGTGCCCTTCTCGAAATGGGTCCGGCCCGGCCTGGTCGGGCAGTGGCCGTGGCTGCATGTTATATTGCACTACAAACTGAATAACGTGGAACGGAATGCGACATCTATTTGGACCCTAATGATGACATCAGGATTCTCATCGATATCACGTACGCATATATTGGGACCAGTGGCCTAATCTTACTTGATCTTTTAGTTTCTCAGAAGTGTGGTCCCCCTATTATGGTCTAATAATAGCAAAATGCATGTTCCATCATCCTGTGCCATACCATACAGATTCTAAAATACACAAGAGTCTTACCTCAGACTCTTCCGAAACACTGTGGCAGCATTGGCTAAGAACCACTCAACCAAAGTGGAATTCACGAAGTACCGATGGGCATCTGCCCCTACAACTGTGATCATGTCTGCTTTCGTGTATCATACATTGGAATTATCTGTTACGATCTTTCCTCCAGAATGTCTTCTGACTCCTTCTCTTTTCTTTCCCCCAATAGCATAACAACGTCGTTTAACCAGACAGGCATTGTCTCGTCCAACAGTGCCCGGATCTTAGGCCACTGACGAATACAACACACGCCCGGCTGTTGGTCCTAACAAGGGACTGACTCAACCAGGCTCGGCCAGAAAAACTACTGTAACCGAGCCCATCTGAATAATGAGGGGAACTGGGTAAAATTCTCATTAGCAGAACAGCAGTTCGTCAATCTATAAATCGTTTGGCATTCTGATTTAGTCAGCTAGCACACTCATAAAACGCTGGACTATAATTCTATATGTCCACAAATATATAATATGAGGCGAAACTTTCTATTTTGACATTAAACCACAGTGGCAAGACACGCTTTTTATCAAACTAAAGTTGCCAAAGTCAGCACCAAGGTCTGATGCGGTTCGCACCTCAAAGTCATCACAGTAGACAAATCTTCCACGATAAAAAAAATCTCTATTTGAGTTCTCAATGAGACATTTTATTCGCCTCAGCAAATCTCCTAAACATTTTGTTTAATGGAAGATGACTGACCTTGCACGGACAGAAACATGTAAGACTTGTTCCCAGTTTCACAACATTGTCATTCTACAAAAGGGAAATTATCTGCAAGTGAGCAACTTCCAGATGATTCAACTGTAATAATCCAGCCATATGGAGCTGTTTGTTTTGCCTTCAGCCAACAACGACCAACGTATGAGAACACATTTGTTTTACATGAAGCCTACAACGACCAACGTATGACAACACACTAGCACAAAAGCATGTAAATTGACCGAAAATACAAGCTCATGAAAATATGGAACCCTATACAGCAGATAACTAGTTCCCTGGAGTAGTGATAGAGATAATATAACATGAATTTTCAAAATATTCCTCTGCTACTGTTGTTCATCATAATTCTCCCCATAGTAGCATCCCCCCAGCTTAATTTGTAAGGAACCGAATTAGTTATTCCGTCTATCCATATACTCAATATCATAGTACATTTAATTTACATTGACTTGCTAAAGTCGAGGCATTTGATATTGCCAGCTAAATGAACCGTCTGTACGAACATATTTTGTCTAGTATATCAGAGAGGGTCAGTCGATGCATTTCAGTTGAACAGAACTGGGGCAGAGAGAATGACGACTAGGTGCAGATCATAATTGACAAATCTCCACCAAGAAATTCCCCAACAAATGGTAAAATCTATAGGGGACGACAGATCGAGAAAGAAACTTTGACCTATTGTAAACTTGTTTACAAAGATGAAACACTTGACTAGATCATGGAAGAAGAGATAGAGCCCTTAGAAGTCGAACATTTTCAAGATGCTCTCCTATGCTCTAGGAATAGGCTCTAAAACTCTTCTTTCAAACCAGATATCATGAAGAATCACCTGGAGCTGTTCAGCAAAAGCCCGCTATTAAACTTTAGATGTTTAAAAGAAGCGAGACCTGAAATGAATCATTATCTGACAGTTCCATTTTCTACTGCTATTAAGGACCAAAATAGACTGCTATTCGGGCAAGCAAAATTCCCCAGGTCAGGTCAAACATTAATTAACTTCATCAATAGACCACTTTGAGCTACTTCAAGCATCATACTAAAATAGAGGTATGCCCAATGCAATCGTATACTTAAAAATACTCTATGCAATTATATACATACAGATACAATAAAAGAAAAATCAAGATAGTCTAGCTAACAAATGAGAAAGGAAAACTGTACAGATGGAATGCCTTCTATGAGTTGGTCTCAGAATTGGACCCAATCCGATTCTGTTGCTCTCACATGACTAACCACCTAGCTGCATGCGAGTACACAACAAACCACATTTTTTTTAAACCACCCTAAACAATATTGTAAATAGATGTGGAAAATATTCATTCAACTTCTTCATAAGAACACTTCTTTTTCAGCAGGAAGATAAAAAACTTTCCGTAGCAGTAGTCAATCCACAGGAAAGCGTGAACAACCAGGAAAAAGTATGACCCCAAACAATGGCAGTAAATCGTTAAAATAGTAAAAGTAATATTTGAACAATAAAAGTTGATAAAATGCAAAGACAAAATAACCAAAGTCCAAGCAGGGGAAAACATCGTTAAGTGTCTGCACTGACCAAACCCAGAAAAATTACTTAGCTAGCGGATTGTCCTCCCTCAGGATATTCTGAAGATAATCCTAGCGATATGATAGGCACAAAACAAATAGATGAAGAACTTTCGAAGCTGTTCCTTAAGCTTATCAGCTTCATAAATCGAATGTACAGGGAAGGCCATACAACTGTTGACAGTCGCCAATAAACATGTCGCTAGACTCCTACCACGCAGCAACCAAACAAATGAGGGAGAAGAAAACTATCTTTAACACAAGAAAGTTAGCGGAGCTGTGGGACCTAAAATCCACAATATACAAATTTCCAAAAATTTAAGAAGGGCATTGCAAGATTCTCGGCAAGAATTCTCTACGGATATAACTGAATTTACCAGGTCCAGAATATCCCAATAAATCTTCAACCATCAACTTCAGTTCACCTGACCAACTCCAATTTTACATGAGCAAAGCATGTTACATTGAAGATAAAATTAAAAAGCTCCTCCATAAGCTAGAAATAAACAAGGGTGACTAAATCACAAATGCTAATAATTCTCAAATTATGACACACACAAAACAAGAGTTGTAACTCTGACTGCACAAAAGTTTTTACCAAAAAGAGGTTGATGACATGGATTAATTCTCAACATATTTGCTAAACTTTGACTTTGGATATCAACATAGTAGTTATCCATTGCAAACTTGTGAATGTAATTTCAGGCAAATGAAACAGCTAAGCACTGGAACATTGTCCTTACCCTAAATTTCACTATTAGAACAATGAACCTGTAGGACCACAGCTAAAAGGAGAACTTTGCAAAGAAGACACCCTGAATACAAAGGTATACTGTACTTACCCTTATGCTCCCCTTCCTCTTTCCTCAACTTTCACAGTTGCAAGGACCAACAACCAGCTTAGTTCAGCATCTTATACCTAAACTCTTAACTCAGGCTTACAGGAATAAATGAACAGCGTACTCGCAAAATACAACTACCATCCTGGCAATGCCCTGAAAATTTTCATGGTCTGCCAAATATGTACTACAACAGAATTAAAAGGCTCAAAGATGATAAGATGATAATGCCAGTCCAATTCCCAATCAAATTGCAAATAAAGAAAGCACACTGAAGAGGATTTCAAGTTGACAAAGTACCACGCGACCAGGGAAGACTTCTCTGTGTTGATATGCACCATCCACTAACTGTATGGAAGGATTTCAATGGAATTTCACAATGCTTTTATTTCCAAAACATGTCTTTTCGACGAAATGCCCATTAATTATGATCTCTTCATTGGATCATTTACCGCAAGAATAAACATAGATTTAATCATGGAATAACGTGGTTATCAAATTTCAACCTTGCTACGAACCTTTGACAGGAAAAGTCAAACAACGAGCATGATTATGCCTTACTACTAAGCAGGTTCAAAGCTGGCAGTCCAAAGACAAGCACCTTCACAAAAATATTTTCTAATTTGTGAAAGTCAAGTCTTCTGACACACCCCGATAAAAAAAAAAAGTCTCCTGACACATAATGCACACTTCCTGAGCAAAAGAGATCAATACATGGAAAAGTTGAAAAAAACAAGATTTCTTCATGGAGCATCGTCGAATGACTAAGAAAGTCACTTCTTCCATTTGAGGAACATCCAGGCATGGGCTAGTGGACTTATCTACAAATAAATAGTCTGTACAGCATGCTAAGGGCCTTTCAAACGTGACTTGGAGTGACTTGAAAACTTCAATTGAACATCGTTCTTCAATTATAACAAGCCTACATGCAAATTAGTAAACTTCTCCAGGACAGAAGCTTCTGTTCTCTCAGAATGCTTACAGGTTTTTCTATTTCTTTGCTCGACAAATCACTTCCATTCTAAATCTCAAGTGCCACTTGAAACCGAAATGTCTCAAAATTGACCTATAAAGAACAAATATTCATTCTTGAAATAGTTAAGCTTGTGGAATGATGTCTGTCACATTGTTATAACCATAGAACTTTGCAAGACTATTCAGCGAAACTCAGTTCTGTTCTCTCACAATATATAGCTTGATATGGGATTTTAATGCATATTTAATAGTGCTTTGTGGCAGTTGTTTCTGCCACTAGCTCGAATAGAGTGTTTGACAAACTTTTAAAAGCATATGAAGGTATCTTTCCACGCAGCAGCGTAGCAGGTATCTTGTAATCTATTGAAACACGTAACAGAGATAGGAACGCTTATTCTTAATGTGCTTCAGCCACAGTTGAAAATATTTACAAATTGAATGCACAAAAAGCTATGAACTCCTCATACTTCCAGCAACCTCAGCAACCGTGGGAAGTCTAAACAAGAATACTGGCAGATAGCAGACGACACTATCGGCTATATTTGTAAGCAGCATCTACACAGCATTTATTCTATGCAACGAAGAAAGATTTCAACTGAACGAAATGATCTGCCATTTTATAGAACCCAAATGTGTAAACACAAAAACCTAAAGAAACATTAAGACATGTACTACTCAAGATTTAGAAGATACATCCAGACCATGCAATACATTTGCATACTTCTCAAGCCGAGCGACATCACTGAAGTGAACTTTTCTAATCTTATGAAAAGCGTGCAGAGTCAACAAGCTATCAGACCCGGCCTGGTGCGACTGCCCTACAATCCTCTCCACCCCAAGCGCTGTACACACCCTATCCAACCCTCCATACAAATTCTCGCAAAACCTAATCAAATGCTTAACATCAAAAACCTTAGGCCCAAAATATATCCTAACCAGCTTCAAGAACTCCTCCAATCTGTCCGGCAAGTCTCGCTGCGTCAATGTCTTGACCAAATAACCAAAATCATACGCGCAGTGGAACGTGACCCAACTCACCTCGTCGTTGCAGACGAGCCCCGACGACATCAGCAGCTCGCCAAACTGGACCGAGTCGGCACCCATCAGCCTGTTCATCTCGAAATTGATCCCCTGGTTCCGGAGCATGGCCACGGAGTCCGGGTCCTGCGGGTCGCGCGCCGCGTCGAAATCCCTAAAATTGAACTCCCAGATGTACACGCACTTGGTGCCGAAATCGGGCAGGTTGCCCTCCCCGTCCGACAGCGTAAGCCCGATCTGGATCATGTGCATCCGGTCGACGTTCGCCTTGAGGAGGCCATAGTTGCTCTCCGGCGGCAGGGGGCGGCCGCCGGGGCCGGGCCGGATCACGGTGCCCGGGAACTCCGTGTCCATGGAGATGATCGGGTAGCGGTCGACGGCGGATCGGATCAATCCGAACTCGAACTCGAGGTTGGTGGAGAAGACGGTCCGGATCAAGATCGGCTTCGGTTGCGCGCTGCTCATAGGGCCCGATCAGGAGACTCGCTCGACGACGATGCGGCGGCGCGATAAATAAGCATGTAGAGCGCGGACGGCGAGCTCCGCCGGCGACGATGCTAGGGCTCGAATTTTCCGACGCGGAGGAGGAAGAAGAAGATGGAAAGGGGAGAGGAGGTTTTTATAGGAGAGAGATTTTGAGGGTATATATATATATTAGTGAAGTTCCTAATATGCCATCTTTCTATTTTTGCAAAACTTTTTTTTTTTGAAAGATTTGATCTTTTCAATTTGGGTTAATACTGCGGAAAATACCAAATCGGTACACCCGTAACAAATTTATCCCAAACTAATTTTTTTATCATAAAAAATTTCAAACTGATACATCTGCGACAAATTTATCCAAACTAATCTTTTGATTTTTCAAAATCCCAAACCGGTACACCTGTGACAAGTTTACCTTTCGTTAAATTGGATTAATATAATGAAAAATCACAAACTGGTACATCTGTGACAAATGGAGGGTAAAACCCAAACTGTACACCCATCAACTGCCATATGTCATTCAACTCAGACATTTAATGGTAAAATTTAACGAAAATTAACTGATGGTAAATTTATCACGGGTGTATCGGTTTGGGGTTTTTGGTAGTCAAAAAATTAGTTTGAGATAAATTTGTCATAAATGAACCAGTTTGAGATTTTTCGTGGCATTAAGCCTTTCAATTTTGGCCAAAAAAATGGAACTTTTTTTTTTCTCATAATAGCTCCATCTTAAAATACAATTTTATTTTTTAGTAGATGTAAATCTAGGGTCTTTGCTTTGTACGTGAAAGAGTACCGACAAAATCGATAAATTAGTTAATGTGACGGACTACGATTATATATTTAAATAAATAGTTAAGATTCCAAAGAAATTGTCACACGGTGTGTCGATAAATCGATTTTAAGTACTCCATTCATTATGAGTAGATGGAAAAAAATGGGCGGTCAAGGAGATGATCGATCTTTAGTTTGTATATTAAGATCAGTTTGTAAAGTTGAAGGTAATAAAATTTGGAGTACCTGAATATTTATCGATTTTCTAATTAAGTATGTAAGCTTTTCACTTGTTAATTGAGTACGTAAGTTCTTCAAATTCGGCTCAACTAGCACCTTTGTTAATTGAATGCCACGTGGAGTTTTTTTTTTCTGACATGTTATGCCAACTTAGCAGTGCCTAGACAAAAAAAGTGGCATGGACCGCCACGTCATTATTTTTTATTCCAATCATCAAAAGACTCCTCTTTTTTATTTTTTTTTTCTTCTCACAACATGTGAGTTAGGAAGTCTGTTTCTCTGTTCTTTTGTTTCCTAAAATTGAAAAAGAATAGAAATCTGTTTGTGTACATCAGCTAATTTTTCTATTCCCCATAATAGAATAGTGGCCAAGGATTAGATTTGGAACAGAAATAAAAAGTAAAAAAAAAAATTCTGCTTTATTGTTCCCGGGAACAATTTCTAAAACAATGTCATTTTTGGTGATCGGTTAGAGGAGGAAGAAGAAGGGAGAAAAAAAGAAAAGAAAAAATTCAAAAAAATTAGAAAAATCTTAGAAAATTATTTAAAAAACTAAAAAAAAAATTCACGTCACAAAATTTTTTTAAGGTCATACCAAACGCTTTTCTGTTCTTTTTTGTTACGAGAATAGAAATTTTGTGCAGTTACCAAAGACGTTCTTCTGCTTAGAAACTCGTCCAGGGAATAAAAATAGAACAAAATATTTCTGAACATAAATTATTCTTGGGAGTAAAAATGTTATCAAATGCACCCTTAATCACCAAGGTTTCGGTTAATCCAGCCCAAACATCGTGGCATCAGTATAGTGCTTCCAAAGTTCTACTCTATCTGAGCGAATATCAAACTTATTTAAGCAAATATCAAAATTCATTAAAAAGTTTTATTGTAATTTTCCATTTCGGCTCCATCTGTTTTGTGGAAAATATCTTCCACATTTTCCAGCATTTGGTTGGCTTATTTCTTTTTCTTCTTCTTTCTTCCTTCGCCAGTCGTTTGGCCTTGGAGACCGGTCATAGGGGACGGCCGACCTCACCGGCCTCAGGCGAGGCTCCACCTCACCATATTCGGCTAGGTTGAGCCTGTAGGGATCTAGCGAGCTCGAGCCTCAACGGGATATGGCAAGCTTGACCTCGTTAGCCCTCACCTATGGCCTATCGCCGGCCGTTGCAGATGTTTGATGACCGGCAGATGACGAAAGAAAAAGTAAATAAAAGAAAAGAAAATAATTATTACCAAAATTTGATTTTTCTAAATTACAAAAATTGTCCACGTTAGCGCGGCTGTACCTTGTAGGAAGGTCGACATCCATGTCTTACCAAACGACGGAGAATATATTTCAGTTCATTTTTAGGTCTTAGCTAAACACCCAAAAAATATTGTTATTTCCTTGGAAAATGACTTCTGCGAAAACATTTTCCAGAAATGTCACGTATTTTGCGAGACAAATGGAGCCTTCATATACCAACCCACCATACCTGGACTCATCCTTTGTCAACGAAGTTAGCTACCCGCTTGAAGCCATCACCACTGGCTTCGCCGCCGATTCTGATCGTGACCCGCCTAGGTGGGATGGTGGTGCTTTCGCCTGCGATGGGAATGATGGTGGTATTGTCATGTGTGGTTATAGTGGTCGCGTTCGTGCTTGAAGTCTGAACTGCATGTAAGTTTGATCATGGTCAGCCTTGGTGGGGTGTCGGCGCTACTATTGTCTGCGGCGGCGGCGGCGGCAGCGGCGGTGGCGGCGGCACTGTCATCTGTGGTGGCAACGACGACTCAATCTACAATAGTAGTTGGCAGTGGTGCTCAGTTCACGGTGATAAGTGGTGGTTGGTGGTTGCAAAGGCTTTGTTTCTGCAGAAACAATTTGGGTTGTGTTTGATTGGCAGGATAAGGATTGTGCTGAGATAGGATACAGTGGGATAAAAAAATCTCCCGTAAATGGGGACGAGGACGGCGACGACCAACGCCTCCTCTGTATGGCGATGCTGATAAGAAGATTTGAGACCGAGATGGAGAGAGGAGTTGGGGAATTTCAGGTGAATGGAGGCAAATCACTTGACGAGGATGCACAGAGCGCGGCGGCAAAGGAGTTCACTGGAGGAATAGTGCACCATCAAAGCGTACCACTTGTTGCGTATTAACATTCCTTCCCCACGCTTTTATGCACAAGTGCTGTAGCTTGAGTGAAGAATCTTCCCAGCATCATATAAGTGAAGATGGCATGTTGAATTGCAGCTTGTGTGAAGTTAAGATTTGTTTGGACATTTTAGTTCTTTGTCACTTGAAATGGCCTTACATTGTCGATATTCATTCCTAAAATTACCATATGCATATGACTGTTGTTCCTTTACAGAGTTTGGATTATAAACTTCTCAAAAAAGTAAATGGGTTTTACTGTTGTGAATCACGTGTAAGAACCCAACATACTAGTTTGTCTTCGTCTCGTCTGCTACTCTATACCATTAGTTATTACCTTTGAGCAGTTTATCCATTTAATCTGTGTAATCCGAATCATCTCCTGTTGTAGGTTTTCAAGTATACCAAGCATAGCCTCTGTTGTCTCTATTTTTAAAATCCATGCGCACATATGAAACACAACAAAAAAACATTCTGATGCGAGAGAGTCATCTTCTTTTCGGTTCATTCTTCTCGCTGTAGCTTGAAATCAAATGAAACCGAAGATCCTCTGTTGATTGGATATGCTGCTGTGTTAACTGGATTCGCCAAAATGTCGTAAGTAGTCCTACATGCATTCTTGCACGCTATTAAGAGTTCTGTTCATCCTCTCAATAGATTTGTGTTGCTGTGGTCTGTTGGGAACTGTTCCCCTAGGATGCACAAATCTACTTGAATACTTTGTTGTCATACTCATCACAATTATTGGACATTAGACATTTAATCTTTAAGCTAGTCTCATTCTCCACTTTAGTTTTTCATCTCTTAAAAGTATCAAACATATCATATTTATTTTTCAAATAATAGGCGTATACCTTCCTGGTAGAGTCCTCAGTAGACGTGACGTAGTAGCATGAAAAACCGACTCGTTTATGCTTGCCAAGAACGCAATTCTCACATAGACCAATATCCATGGACTTCAGATCACGTAATTTCCTCTTTGATGCGAACACCTTTCGCTCATGTGTCCAAGCTTGCGGTGCCACAATAAGGAATTAGATTCCGAATCGGTGACTAATACTGGTTGTCTACCGCTTTCAATCATGTACAATGTTCCTGACTTTGTTCCCATTACTACAACCATAACATCTTTAACAATCTTCCACGAGCAGCCCCACAAATAGTTTTGTATCATGTGCTATTTATTTGATCTATAGACATCAAATTTCTCTTAAGGCCAGAAACATATTTAACATCATGCAACTTCCACCGAAACTCATTAATAGTCTTCATATGAGCATCACTATTCTCCATAATATCCAAAGGGTCATCGACAAGATATATTTTTCCAAACTTTCCGGCAACAAAAATGTGCATTAGTTATCTGTATGAAGTAGGGTGAAACAATGCACTTGAGTATAGAATCCAAGACTCTATTGGACTATCAACTGTCAAAATTAAGGCATCATGGACAGATGTCTCTTAAAAGGTTGTGTTCACAGATTTCTTCTCCTTTTGATTTCGGTCCCGATATTAAATTTTCTTCTTTGGGACTCTACAATCTCGTCTTAGATGGCATTTCTTTTCGCAATTTCAGCAAATTAATTCATCATAAGATTTTGATTTGCTTAGAAGAGTCTATACGAAGCGTAATCACCTTCTCGAGGCTCGTGATGAGAGGGTCGCGACAATGCCCTCTTCATGCTCTGTGGTTGTGCAAAGAAGCAATTAACCCTGCTGTCGTACAGTCAAATCTTCTATCTTTCTGAGTAAGTATGATGGGAACGAGGAAGGTAAGACTAGAACTCAAGAACTCTTGGATCTCGGTAAGGATGGAGCCCCTTTTGCATGAGGGCACCTTTTCAATTGTACTGATACAAGACTAAGACTATATGAAAACCATTTTGCATGTCGATCATGTAGGCCCTTTCTTTCCGTCACATTCAATCCTCTACTTAAATTTTCAAGAGCATCGATTTCGGCACATGCCCGTGTAGATTGTATAAAAAAATGTTAAGCCGCTCCACATGCTGTTGATATATGGTACTGAATGGCTCTTGTGCAGCTCTAAGTGAGAAGAAAAGGGAGACTCGTGCGACCTAAAATAGGTGACCTTGGCTGGGTTATGCTACAATGATCTGCCCTGATGTGGATTCTTAAAGCAGGGAAATGCAGGGATGTGGTAAAATCACTGTGTACCTCGTGATTGGTTGTGCTCTCTGGCCATCTTTTAGGGTTATCTGGGATTGACCTGATCCTTTTGTTGACCATCTACTGTGGGGATGGTGTGCTGAGTTTTGCTTATGTTTTGTCTTACTCTTTTATTTGACTTATAGTCAATACGATACGCTGAGTGCGTGGGTTTCTTTGACTCTCCGGATCACATCACATGGCATTCAGATACTTCGCATTTATATATATGAAGATATCCACTGCTGCTTTTCGGAAGGATTTGAGCTCTTGTGGATCAGGGACATTTTAGAACTACCGCGAAGTTATGTTTGACTAGTGTCTTTATTTCATATGTTGCGTGCATCATGCGGTGAAGTCCTAGGAGTGTCTGAGGCATGCTATTCTGGTTTGCCATTAGATGGCGACTCCTATCGATGAAAGATCATCCTTAGCCCGTGCCTGATCTCTAATGGACCCCTCCACTTATGGTGATAAGGCTTCATGTTACAGTCTGGTACTGGATTTCATCTAATAAGTGGGTCCATCTCTCTCTCTCTCTCTCCCCCGCAGCATTCTCTGCATTCCTCTAACTCTTGATTGAGTCCTGTTGGATTCAGTTCCAAGGTTTGAGATAGCATGTTGAGGAACAGAGTTCAATCCGAGTTCAATCCTAGGAGCCCCTCCTGGTTCTGTTCCTTTTTTTCCCCCTCTACTTTGGGCTTAACCTGCCGGGACACAGTTTTTCTTAGATTTTTTTTCAAGCTAACAAGTCCTGAATGTGATTTGATCCCCCATTTGTAGCTCCTATTCTGCTCATCAGTGTTAGTTCTGCTGCAACCACCGGATAAGAGAGAGGGAGAGAGACATGATGATAGTGATGATGAAGGGTGGTCATGTGCGAAGAGTTATTTGAAGAGGTTGGGGAGGAGTAAAAACCGAATTGAATAGAGGGGAGGACATGGAGAAAGAGAAGGGAAGGCCTTTACCAAAATAGAGGATGGCAACAGAAAAGCTGGCATCTAGTGTGAAAGAGCAGCAACACAAAAATACAAGAAAAGAGAAGAAAGCCAAGATAGAACGAGAGAGAGTGAGGATTGGTATTCAATTTGTATTTATCATCTGACGTAATACCTCTCATTATTCTCAACCGCCCTCAATTACTCATTGCATTCAATATCTGGTTTTTAATGGCCTCTCTTCCGATCTAAATATAGTCCTCCTCCTCCTCCTCCTCCTCCTCTTCCTTCTTTTCAATGCTCGAACCACCCAACCCCACCCCCACCCCCACCCCCTCCCTCATCTTACCAAATCGGCCCCTTGGATCATTTAAGCCCCCTCATGTGACTCGTCGCTATTTCGTTAATTGCGTGTTGGTTGTGTTCATGTGTGCGCTTTATTTTGCTGTCATGACCCTTCACACGAATATGCTCTGTTTTGTGCAATCTAGCCCGGTAAATCTTCTGGGGTCAGTGACCTGGACTGGTATTAGATTTTGCTGCTGATGTTTTAACCAGGATAAACAGCAAAGACGCGAAAGCGAAAACGAAGGGGACAAGAATAATGGAGCTAAGCAAGGTGTTTGTAGCTGGCAAGTGCTTCGTGTGTCTAGATCAGATGTGCTATGGACAGTGATGTTCTTAGTAGTTTGCTCTATCTAACTGCTCGGCTATCGGGGCTTTGGCTAGATTCTTGGTTCATGGGTGGATTCTCAGTTCTCGGCCGTTGGATCTTTCGACATTCTGCTAGATCCTATGGTGGAGCCCCCCCAGTCCCTGGTGAAGTACATTGGCCATCTCAAGGTCACCTTAGTTAGTCTGTGTGACTGTTGTGAGTGAGCCATTGGAAAAAAGGCCATGATTGGATGGGCCCGAAAAGTCTCCCCAATTCTTACTGCTTCTAAAAAAATAAAAGAAGACCACCAACCGGTTTTACATTACACCGTTGTCATCAGTTAAAAAAAGATTCAAGTCAAACCCACGGAACTTTATCTAACTTTTTCGCATGTTGGAGCAGAACAGTCCTCGTGTGAAGACATGGTAGATGCTGTGGCTGGGTACGACAGAGCATAAAAGTGAGAAATCAAACACAATCCAGTCGAACACAATCTAACATCACCCCTATGATAAGAAAATCTGGGCCGTTGCAGTTAACCAGATTTACATTGCCTGTTGCTAAAAGAGGGAAGAGAAAAGGCTGAGCTCAGGAATCTGCTCTAGTAAAATCCCGCTAAACCTCTTTCTATGCCTAGGAAAAGAAAAGAATGGAAAAGCGAGAAATAAGAAACAAGATAGTACTATAGCGCTTCACTTTTTCTCTGTTTCTTGATGCGTGCCTTTTTCATCCACATATATACCCTGTTTTTACCTCTGTTTTTCCTAGTTTAGGCACATGGAAATGAAAAATGAACCTAAAAATGGAGCGCTGATAGCACTCTCTTCTAGAGAGACGGAAACAGGAGATCTAAAGGAGGGGATAGACTAGAAAAGGCTAAACATTAACTCCTAGTAGTAACAGAATTTCTTGAGGGGCAAAAAAAAGCTCTGTTTCCTCTGTTTCTAGCTCCTCCTGGTCCTCCTGGTGTGGTTGGTGTTGATGTTGTCATGGACGAAATCGAGCAAGACGGTGCTCTTGCACTTGGGGCACTTGGGCTCGTCCTCCGAGAGCATCACGTACATGAGGCATCTCGGGCAACCCACAAGCACCATCGACGTGGCCTCCGGGCTGTTGGAGTAGCGCAGGGAGGACTCGTCCTGGTTGAGCTCCGACGACACGCACGAGCTCGGCGGGGAGGTGGGCGACACCGTCGCCGACCGGGCTGGGGACTCCACCCTCGGGCCGGGCCTTGGCGGGGACAGGTTCAGCTTCAAGTCGAGCTTGGGGCCGTTGCCGTTCCGGCGACTCATGTTACCCAGTTCGCCGTCCAAACAGTATATCTCCCCTGTCTGTCGAGCAAGAAAAAAAATGAGTTCACCGCCACAAAATCTCCAAAAAGCAATTGAATTGCGCCACATTCGTGGATGATGGCAACGAAAAAACAAAACGAATTTGAGAGGCGGGTAGACAAAAGCGTGTCGAATCTCGAAGCTACCTTAAAGATCGAGGGAACTTTCGCCAACCAGGAGGGGAGAGGACAGGGCTCTTGAGAGCTGATTAGCGGAGGCGGCGATCGAGGGTGGGGCGGCGGCTAGGCTCGAAGCAATGCGAGAGCCGTCCCTCCTAACTGGTGGTGCACCATCAACAACAGGGTCTTGATGTGGTTTGAATTGGACCTCTTAAGGCCATTATATATAAAGCCAGAAAGAGAGAGAAAGAGAAAGATGGGGTTTACTTTAAAAGCTTAATTTAATTATGGGGGAGAGGTGGCGGGGTATAGGGTATAGAGAGAGAGAGAGAGAGAGGGGGGGGGATTGAATGGAATTGAATTCCTGGTAGAAGACGAGCATAAATTGAGGCCAGGAAATGTATTAATTGTTTTGGAAAAATCCCAAGATGGTGTTGCAGAAAGGGGAAAACTTTGGTGGTAGTAAATATAAAAGAGCAATTACAAAGTGCAGAGGAGAAAAGAGCTCCCCCCCTCTCTCTCTCTCTCTCATTCATGGGTGTTTTGAGTGATGAGGGAACAGCACAAACACATACACAAGCAGGGCTTTTAAAGCTAAGCATCAAATTTGAAAAAGATAAAATAATAGCTAAGCGTAAAAAAGAAGGCAAAAAAAAAAAAATAGAATTAAAGGGCCTCAACCCCACCTAAAAATTTAATGAAAATCGCCCAATATTATTAGATAGCAACCAAAGAAAGGGAAGTGTACCATCCCCCTCAGCCTAATAATTTCTATGCCACCGAGCCAACTTCCAAATCACATTTATTAGTATCGCTTGTTATAAACGCCACGGTTTAAACTCTCCCTTGGCTTTGTTCATCACTCATTCTCTCTCTCTCTCTCTCTCTCTCTCTCTCTCTCTCTCTCTCTCTCTCTCTCTCTCTCTCATTTGCATTTCAGTCTTTTTAGGACTAATCAATGCACATTGCCATACAAAGTATGGGTCATGTCCTTCCACTCGTTGGAGTCATTTCGCTATGAGTTTCTTTGCCGAAAATATGTCGAATTTAATCCGTTCATTTCGATGGAAAACGTTACGGTCGGAAAAGGTTTTTGCCTGTTTTACAGCGTTTGGCGCGGTCGAGGAAAACCGGCGAACGGAAAATGTTTCGTGGTCAATGAAAATGCATGGGCGGAAGTCTTCTTTTCCGGGGTTTCATTTAATTTTACATTTAATCCACTTCCAACCGCTATTACCAGCAAAGCAACTTGCCTCGTAGTTATCATGACCGAACTGAACCTGATCGTTGCCACTCAAGGTCGAGCGGTTGACGACACCGGCACCTTTGCCAACAACGCCACTACTACTCGAGGTCGAGCGGTAAACATTGCTACCGTCATTACACGTCGAAAAAACCTCAAGACGCGTGTGCGATAACTTATTTTCGCATAAAGAAATTTCTCGAGGAAACCCTTTTGTAGCTGGAATTAATTAACTGATCCTGATCTTTAAAGGCCTACAGCTGAGCCGATGTAATGCTACGAACGTTCTCTATTTAACTTATTCTAAGCAAGCAATTACTACACACAGCATCGACGTGCATGCATGAAAAAAGATTCTATTCTTGATTTGTGGAGTAACAAAACTTAGTGGCCACCCTTCTGAGCTCAAATGATTGAACTTGCTTGCTACTTACTTTACCAAAAAAAAAAAAAAAAAACTTAGTGGCCACCCACCTGCGCATGGCCGAGTTGGTGGGCGCTTTCCTTCCCTCCCCAGAGGTTCTGGGTTCGAATCCCCGCTCGGTTCCGTAATTTAAGTGGGGGAGCCATGGCGGTGGGTTGCTGGGCTAGTCTCCCCCGAGGTATAGGCGCCCCGATTACCTGTGCGGGCTCGTCCCCGTGGAATGGTGGCGGATCCTCGGTTACCATAAAAAAAAAAAAAACGTAGTGGCCGGTCTTGATCTTCGAACTTCTACGATGTCGTACTCATGTTTTTCCTTTTATATTTTATTCCTCCCCCCGGCAAAGAACCCTAACGAGGCGCCTCGCGAGAGCATTTACTAAGCAAGCAATTACTACACACAGCATCGACGTGCATGCATGAAAAAAAGATTCTATTCTTGATTTGTGGAGTAAAACTTAGTGGGCGGTCTGGATCTTCGAACTTCTACTACGTCGTACTCATGTTTTTCCTTTTATATTTTATTCTCCCCCCGGTCCCCCCGCAAACATATTGCCATGTCAGAGAATTTACCTGTTTTTATATTTGACAGGTGGTGCTGAATGATGGAAAGGAACGACCAAAAACCAAATGCGAGGGCTGCATGTTGCAATATAATATGATGGAAGTTGCAGGTCGAAAAGCTCCAGAAGTTCATCATCTGATCAAACCCTAGATGAGCACTTGGTATATAGTATTGTATAATCATTTACTAATGCGGTTATGGGTGACATTTAAGGATTTTCAGTACTATAAGAACATCTAGTGGGAGAGCTAATCAGTAACAAATTGCATGGCGATGCGAGACGTGGGGTTGACTCTGCTTTTAAACATTTGGCAAGGATGTGGTTTTCCCTCCACATTAAAATAAAAGGCTAGAACTACATCTATCAAGTAGCCAATTAATTTGCATTTATGGCCGTTTTGTTTTATTAGTATTAATCGATTTCGATAAGGAGATTAAAAGAAAAAAAAATCAGGAGACCAAAATATAATATTCGATTTATCGAAGAAAGATTCAACAAAAAAAATTAGGAAAGCGAGAAAAAATGTTGAGAAATATAAAAAGATTTGTTTGACATATTTAATGCCAGATGGTATATTTCCGTGTATGTCTCTTCTGGCCATACATGGTTTGTCCGATTGTCCTTTCTTGTATTTTCTTAATTATTTCCTAGATAAAAGAAAAAAAATCAGATTTATTTTAGGAATTTAGAAAAAGAAAATTGGAGAGACCCAACTATTCTATTTATTTTTTGATTCTCCAGATAAATGAACATCTAGAACTACCGTCCTGAGCACGACTTTAAAAAGCTTCATCCAAGGCTTCGTTCGGACTTGGAATCCCTTAGATGTAAAGCAAATAGAGGGTATTCCCTCTTTTCAGGGAAAACAAAAATATGGGGAGAACAAGAGGCGTAAGGCGTGCGGACACCAGCACGTTAAAATAAGAAAATGCATCCGTGGAGCCCGCTGTCCTTGTATATCAAACAGACAGGTCGCGGAGGCCTCTGCGGGAGTTTCAGCTCCTCTTTTGTGGTAAGATTACCTCTTAACCTGAACACCTCTCAGTGTGACTCATATCCACTATTAATGCGTGTTATTAGTTTCTTTATCTAGCGCCAATTGAAAAATGTTCGGTTGCTCTTTTTTTTTTCCAAAGTAATATCTAGAGAAAATGCATAATTTTATGACGCAAATCCATGACGTAAGTAACAAGATGAAATTGTGTTTTGTCGGAATTTGACTCCACGACGAAATATCTTTTACCAAAGTCATAAGAGGAGATAGATTCTGTAGAGACTCTGGACATACAATATCACAGGTAAATAAAAAAATCAATAACTTCACTTCAAACAAAATTGAACTTATACAAATTGTGTCGCGATTTAATGGACGACAAAACTTGAGAACGCAGACACTATAATGGAACCACATGTACACAAATTATGCGACAATTTAATCAACGACAAAGCCTACGAATGTAAAGATGCAACGCCGGAATTTAAATGACCACGAGGCACCCAAGATATTCAATAAAGATACACGCTGGAATTTAATTGACGACGTGAATTTGGAAACTACAACTAAGATACACGTTATAATTTAATCGATAACGCGAGCGTGGAAACTATAGCTACGGTACAAAAATTGAAAGATAATTGAAAAATAACATGTTTGTTTATTTGTGCGTGGGGCGCTTTCGAAGAGTACAATGTGGTTACAAAGAGAGATTACAAACAAAGGTTGCAAGCAGTGGTTACAAACGGTTACATTGACCCCACTACCTTGACAGTTTTCTCAACTTCACTATCTGAACGGTTGCTTCATTTTATTACGTTAATGGTTACTTCTTTAATGGTTGCATACGAGATTATCGACTGCACTTTTTGTCTATTCCTTCAATATGTCGATTCTTCGAGTTATCGATAATTTTGTTCATAAACAATTAAATTCTGCTCTCATCGATTAAGTCTATCACATATCAATAAGAACTAAAAGTTTGTCATTTTTTTTATGCAAACAAGTTGCTTGCTTCTTGAGCAACTTTAGGATGAAGACCTAGTTATCTGTTTTTTATAAATAAAAAAAAGGAGTGACCCAGTTATTTGTCTCGCCACGGGCAGGCTGCAATGGTTCCTCATGAATCAGGAGAAGGGAATTCTTAAATCTGGGAACAGTTCACCTGTCATTTCATTGCAGTTTATAGCACATTAACTGTTGTCTTGTCTCCACGGCAAATGAACTGGGTCCATCCTCATTTTCTTCAGTCTCTTGCTCTTAGAAAAGAAAAATATACTTTGAATCTTATGAATTACTATTATTATTTTCACAATGATAAAATATACTCTGCCAAGATTAATTTAGATGAACACCCGCTGAAATTCACTCGTCGTTTTTGCACAAGAATTCAGCAATTAATATGGCACAAGATTTATCGTTCGATGCCAATTTCTAGCGTCGAGTAGTGACCCCTTTGAGAGGCAAAGTACACCTTTCTTTTCTTATTTGTTTTTCTCTCGGTAGGGGGAAAAATGAATTGACCCTCAATAGTTTTCTTGATATGAACACGTCAATCAATTCGCACATTGATTCCGTGACTAAACATGAGGAGCTGCCTTGTCCGTTGAAGTGATTATCAGATTGCTTCTTCTTGTCGATCGGGACCTGATCTCATTAAAAGGACTTTACGCATGACAACCTTATTTATCGTGACTAAAACTATTCATGCCTGAGCTTGGATTGGTCGATTGTTTTTGACGTGTATGTTAATACTAGTGTTTTGCCGGAATTTTTCTCGTGACGAAATACTTCCAATTGAAAATCGTTCTTTGGTTTTTGATTGAAGGAGACAAGTTTAGATCACGAGTAAATAAGGAAATCAACAACTTCACTTCAAACAGAACTATACAAACATAAACGGTGCTGGGATTTAATCTACGACAAGGCCTGGAACATACAGACTCTAAAACGGAACCGAACGCAGATAAATTATGCCGGAAATTTAATCGACGACAAAGCTTAAGAACGCATGGATATTATGCCGGAATTTAATCGACAAGGCAATACCTGTGATAAAGATACACGCCGGAAATTAATTGACAACACAAGTCTGGAAAATGAAATTACAGTGCATGAAAGTAAATATAACTTAAAAATACTAAATTTATTTGATTTGTGCGGGAGGGTCTCCGAAGAGTACGATGCGACGGTTATCAACAGAGGTTGCAAATGGAAGTTACAAACATATGTTACAAAAGGAGGTTACAAACTTTTTGTTGACTCCACTACGTTGACGGTTGCATCTGAGAGTATTGAGTCAACTCCATTTTTTGT